GTAGCTTGCTTCTGCAACACTGAAATTGGGCTCATGGTCAAAGGAAATCAGTGGTCACTTGCTTTCAGTTGTGAGCTGTGTCTCTTTTTCATGGGTACTGCTCACAATCGCACGGCATCCACCTCCACTTATCTCATTTGACGAATTTTTTGCAAATGACTTCGTTAATTCTACTTAATAAACTCTACAGTTCTAACAACAGTACTGTTATATTGCTTCGGCAACGCGTTGCTACTGAGCCTTTTGCAAAAACTTGCATTCTGCAAGGTTTCTTACTTTTCCGGCTCGAAGCCTCATCAGCACATACACGTCGTAATGACTGTCTGATTCACTGTTCCTTACCTAGAAAACGCTGTTGTCAATTTCAAATTCCCTTCCATTTTTCATGATGCTACAGAAAGACGTTTGTTCCCAATACATCCTTTCTCTCGTATTACTGTCAGTTTCAAGTACCAAAATCCTATAAGCTGCCGCATTATGAACTATGCCACTTTTCTTTGACGCCTCAATGATAAACCAGTGGATCTTGCTAACCTGTTGTCTTCACCTTGTCAATGTGCGCGTTCACCTTTCCTCTCCTCTGGTCACATTGTTACAGGTAACGTAGACATTATCCGTAATCGGCAACTAAGGGAAGTAATGAAGAAGGGTACTAAATTCAGACTCACGGTGATTAAAACTGCAGACGAAGTTATAACTGATATCTCCAAGGCTTTAGATACTTTCATCTCTGTTATGGCAAATCGTACCCCCACAACGATCCTCGAATATGACAGCTTCAAACAAGGGATATTAACTGTAGCACGGTGACAAGCTGCTAATCATTGCTATCCTTCTCTTCAAATCAATATTGGTTTTGATAGAGCCTTACGTGAGACGCACTGACAATTTGTCATAACGTCTGTTGACAAGGCGCCAAACAATTATATAGTTATATGCAAGGAGTTCTAGCTTCTTTGCATTGCAATGAGTTCAGTTTTAGCAGCCTTAACCATATTCGAGAGTATGTTGTATACAGACTAGTATCGCTCTCCGCCCAAAAATTGGCACTCGAACACCATAAAATTCTGGGTAATTTTCAGCTTCATTCCCCCTAGTGATGAAATATCCATCCCCCTCATTTATGCTGTTCCCAAACTTCATTCGCAGTGGGCGACCCGTTTACTTTAGCATTAGCAGTCATTAACTGTGATAC